GAGGTGACCTTATAGAGACATTTAAGATTGTCAAAGGGCTTTCGGGTCTACGGTTCCAAAAAGTATTATCGCTTGTTCCTGCAAGGGGCACGAGGGGCCATCAACTTAGATTGGAAAGAAGTCATTGTAGGCTACATACGCGAGCTAGGTTCTTCACAAACAGATTTATACCGCTGTGGAATAAACTACCTGAAGCAGTGGTTAACTGTATTAATGTCGAATCTTTCAAGAGAAGGCTAGATGAATGCTGGGCAGTGGAATTCTGTGGAATAAACTTTCTGAAGCAGTGGTTACCTGTATTAATGTCGAATCTGTCAAGAGAAAGCTGATGAAGCTGGGCAGTGGTATTTCCCGAAGTTGAGTGTTGAAAGTTAATCGTTAGGCTTTACTTTCAGAAATACGATAAGGGATCTGATACTGCACACTAACATTCTGCCTTTCAAAAACTACTATTGACTCGAAGTGTTGGAAGCCAACGAAACCGCCGACAACACAAGGAACTGGACGCGCGATTGGCAAGAGCCACAATTCGTCCTGTGAGAACTGAACTGAACTGAACTGGTTAAGCCGCCCAATTGTGACCCGGAAGTCCCGCGTTCAAACCGTTTCACTGCAGCCCATCTTCCTTACTGAGGTTATTCCCCAGACGGCTTTTTCATGACCATCATCCTCTTTCCAAAAGTTGATGTGCATTTTTATATTCAATGAATGAAAATGGGAATCAAAAAGACACTTTTTTGTACACTGACGATCGTCTCTTTTATCCTTCGTTGTTTGCTTCCTGTGAAAGTATTATTGTATTTTGTGGGATATTTCAATTAGCTTTGGGACTGATTCTTACGTTTGGATCTCTTGATTTGATTTCAGTAATCCAATTTCATCTCTTCTCGTGCCATATTCTGATTCGTAAAGATACCTCGGTTGTGGATGTATTTTTTCATCCAGTATAATTGCTCCCTATCGTCCAACATTTTTGTGGTTTCTGATTCCCAGTCTGATTTCGTAACCTTCTCCCTCGCTTTTTTCAGCAAGTTTCCAAGACGCATGTGGTAATTCATTCGGTTATACATCTTTAGAGGATAGCACGAGATTCAAATTAGTGCTAACGCATTCCGTTTGATGAAAACACATTTGGATATCAGTTACATATTTTATCCAAGCTTTCCATTTAATCGGAATAGTTTTCATTAGTTTGACCGTATTTGATGACCGTGACAAACTCTTCCCAATATCAATTTCTTCCAATTCGGGTTGGATGCTTCTACCAGGTATTCTTGTTCTACTTCTATCAAAAAATAAACGAATTACTCTCTGCATACTTTTGGAACAACCAGTCAGTTCGAGGATAACCAATTCAGCTGACTGGTAGGAATCCACAGACTATCAAGACGAATAACAACGATCCGGTCGACCGATTGTTGTGTATGTGCATTCTTCTGCTGAAAAATAAGTAAGCTTTGAACTCTGTTCTGTATCACTTTCTGAGGAGTGGCTATTTAAACGAGAACCGTTATCGGAAGGTAGTTATTTGGAACTTATGTATTGAGAGGATTCATGAAGTAATAATAAATCCAGTTGTATGGATAAATCTGAGCAGCGTATTAAACACCACTTATTGATCGTGATGCCATTTCGTTCAAGTATACCACTTCTTCCGTCGCATTCATTCAATCGGAGCCTATAACCAATTTCTGGAAACATCCAATAGTACTTTTGTTTCAAGGAAACTGTTGTCAAACGTTTGACTGAGGGTTTTCGAACTTTCAACTCAGAACGTTTTCAGAAGGTGATAATAAACATTAGCACTGTTTAGTCAGTAGTAGTATACGTGAGTCCACAAAGCCTACTTTGCAACGTCCAAGCTCTGCTTTCAATACTCTTGCCTCCTTCGTCAATACATTTCCCTTATAGAAAGTGTTAATCCGTGAGAATCCATTTCCTCTTTTACATAAATGAGCCAAAAGCACTTCTTGGCTTTCCAATTATCATGCTCCATCCTATTCGATTGCTGTTTTGTGTGATTATATCTCAAACCTTTGACTGTACACATTCTACTAGCATCAGGTTTCTCCCTCCCTGATTATCGAGCCAGAGGAAATTCATGGTGCAATTCCAACTTCATTTGTCTGTTATTTGAATTCCCCTAAGTAGCTTCCTCACCATATATCCGGAACGATATTTTTTGACATACCATACTTGGACTACTACATTGTGTTTTTTTTCTATGTTAAAATCCCATGTGTTGTATACAGAACACAATTTTGATGTTGGCTATTCTAATTAAGGCTATGCCACATTATGTCTGTCCGAACAGCGAGGCATGCTAAGATTCAATTTAAAAACAGGTAAAAGATCTCGTGATCCCAGGTTCACGTAATACGACCAAAATGGAGTTACTTCCATTGAAGCCCCCAATGATTGTTATCTATGCCCTTTTATTCAAAGATACTTTCCTACCTCGATGGGTTATTCTTTAATTCATTTTTACTTGTATCTTGCCCCACTTGACTATGCACTCCTCTCGCTTTTTCACAGCATCTCTGGCATGAATTTAGAAAGCATTAGGTCCCGTGTAGTGATTTGATTTTAGGCAAACAGACCTACTCTATTTCATTTGTTTATTTCAAGGCTTGTGCTAACCGGTACTGTACCATTCTTACAGATCTCCACACACATGCTTTAGTGAATGTGTTCATAGCTCTACTACTCCGTTATCTTATAAGGTTATCTACGCTCTAACAAGGCGCAACCATACTGGATGGTATCATAACTGTAACGACCTTGGCAGCCTGCAATCCTGTTTGATTGTGAGTCGTGTTCATGTCTCACTAGACCTTCCGGTTCATGGTGTCTGCAATTTCCCTCTATTACAGATTGTCAGTCAACTCCATCCAAGATAACCTGCTATCTGTCGACGGTTCCAGCCCAAACCTAGACGGCCCATTTGCGGCTGTCTGGTGTATTCGTTCACGGGGGACATCCTGGTGCACACACGAACTAAGCATCTCACACAACCAGTCCGTTGTTCAAATTGTTTGGTTCTTACTAAAAAAAATAAGCTAATGAGCTCAGTAAGGCATATATTTCTCCTTAACTGATTAGTTGTTAATTTTAAGTGCAAGTCGATTCGAATTGTGTAAGTAAACTGACGAAAGTATTACACAGATTTCTTGATCTTAGTAACACGAAAATATATTAACATTATTAGTACATGCTTCTGTGTAGATTTGCCGAACCGTGTACTTCCCTTTTATGGTCTACCTGTACTTTCTAACATGGCTGGTGCAATACACGGGCAGCCAAAAATCTATTTTCATTGAATGTTGTCTGTAAAAGCCAAACGCTTCCTCATGCATCCAGTAAGCATTAAATTTCATGAATTAAACAGGTTTTCATTTTACACTTTGATATTGTTGGTGAATACAAAAAACGTTGTGAACATATTGGCTTTAAGAATTCAATATCGATTGCAAATCTGATTTATAAAATAAGATGTCCCAATAAAACGATCTTGATAATATGAAAGAAAACACAAAAGGAATAGAACCTAGTCAAATTCGGTCATCTCCAATCACAACTCCATGTCTAACCCCGTGTTACTTACATGGTTCATAGCTTGCAGCAAACGGGCCTGCCAAGGGCGAACGAATTGTGTGGAATGTGACGCGCATACGTGACCCCGTGGATAGAACGGACGACTCTGATTCCATTCCACACAATACGGCAATCTTTCTCTCCGTGTCCTGATCAAACACCGTCACGTTTTCAACTGCGCAGTCCTTGAAAGACATCTGACCGGTAATGAATAAAGCAATGCCGGGTCAAGAAACGTACCACACTGGCACAAACTGTGCACGTCATCTTGGTGCATTTCACGGGAATGACAGAAATTGCTTGATTACTCAAGTGATTCAGATTAGATAAATTAAGTTTCATCACAATCACGAGACTCAGTAGTCAAAAATAGAATAAAAAGGATGACAGAGTATTGTCACCCAACTATCTCAAATGGAAAAGCAGAATGAATAGTTAGTGCACATGAAGCTGAAGACCTTCTTGACGCATACATTGCAGTCAACCCCCTCCTCATATGTCTCTTTTTCTAAAAAGGTGTATATTGTTTTATTCAAATCACGTTATTATGTTCGCAATATCAGTTGATTTTAAAATGTCCTCCGATCGCTAAAATCAGCCGTAGAATGTCTTTAATCCGGTAGATAATCACCCGAAAGTCGCTTCCTCATCATAAATTGTTTATGTAGGTCTGGCGAACCTCCCCCCCACCGCCCTCATTCCACAAAAAATGATACATGCCACACCAATACCGATGTATTTACACAATGGTTGAGTCGCGTGGTTTGCAAGCCCTTAACTGACTTTGTTATTTCGCACCCACGAACATATCCAAGCTAACATTAGTTAATCACTCCAACTCTTGACTACTTCATGCGCGCTGCATCTCGGCAGCTCTTTTATCTTTCTGTTTACTCGTTAGTTTTGTAGAGAACAGATAGTTGGATATCCAGTCTAGGTAACTGTTGCACATTGATGAAGTGCACCGATTGGTGGCGAACAGATTAGTAACTACAATAAGCATTGGACCGTTATATGTGGATCTCCCGCGCCTCTCGTTGCGTCTCGCAGCAAAGCTACTATACAAAAAGAAAGCTCTGAGCCTTTCCTACCGGGGGGTTATTCAAGTCGTCTAAATGGACGATTTTTTGAGCTCCACAGTTAAGTCGGTTAATTGTATTCATTTCAGTGGATATCTTGTCTATCTTTTTTTTTTGGGGGGGGGGGGGGTNNNNTAAGTGCCGACTAAGGGGAGGCATATACTTTTACAAATGTTGCATGTGCTAAATGTGAAAACGTAAGATGTGACCTCTTATGCCAACTCACCTGTTTCCACATTTCAATCATATGCATACATTACTTATCCGATTCTTCAGAAATACATAAGTGCTTAATTACTGGCTAATCAACGACCAAACAAGAAAGAAGGAATTAGTTCTTACGTGAGAGTAATGACGGGTTTTCATTCAATTTCAAAGACGGAATCGTCGTGGATAGAATAAACCAAGTGCGGACTGAGGAAGCACTGAACAACAGTTTTGACCTGGTTTATCTCATCAGCTTTGCAAACTTGTTCTTATTTGTTGGTATGTACGTACCAATGAAATCGTATTTGTATTTTTGTAACTTGTGTGAGTTTGTATGCTTTCATTTCAGTTGAATAGACAAGGTTCTTCACTTGGAATGATGTATACGGTTTTGTTTAACATTCAAATTAAAGAATGTCGCTGAATTTGGTTTCTTGTACAGAACATCTGACGTTTTAAGGAGTCAGGCTAGGCAGAGTAAAGGGGAAATTTTATAAATGTTATTGCGAGAGGGTTGATGCCGAAAAGAGGAGTGTGTGGAGGGATGGGAACTACAAGATGGTAGATCGGAATGCAGTGGATGAGGAGGGTCGTCTAGAATCAAATTGGCAGATTTAACACATGAGTTGATGTGACCATTAATGAGTTTTTTGTGATCAATGGATCGATTGGGATTAATGATGCATGACTGATTACCATTAAACTACGGCGAATTGTTTTTAAGTCTTGTTTTAAAAGACCAAAAAACAATACAGGGAAGTAATAAAGACGAACGAGTGAAAAAGCTTCGAAAAGCTTGTATTTGATAGTCTCTATATACTGTTGATTTACTATGATACGAAAGAAGTGAATTGTATGTCAAACGTCTTCTGACTGGTCTACTAACGTTCAGAGAGCGTAGCCATTGCTTGTAACTGAGTTCTTTCTAGGAATGCTGACCGTTCCTAATACATTTATTGTAAATGCTACAGACACAAGAATACTCATCATCTATGTGTGGTACATGCTCTGCTCGGTTAAACGCGTTTATGGCGGTTGATTCAAACCAGTTTATAATGAAATACAATCTACTATTTAAGGTCATATGCGCGCCGGTCGATCTCGTGGCACCTCGTCAGACCACCCGAACGGTCGGACATGTTTTTCATCGGTGAGATTTGACGATACACCATGTGTCATCAACCAGCGGCATAGACAAACCAGCTGTCCATCTTAGACACTCGTGGTATACGGATGGAGTCCCTCGAACAGACGGTCATAAATATGCTGACACACTGACTCTACTATCGGACACATGGCTTGGTACAATACTAATTCTTAGAACAACGATTTAGTTAGTCGAATGAAATCCACTGAAACAGAACATAATTACTAATAAATGAGCATTTGAATGTGACCAATAGGATGGCAATAACAAATCAATTATTGATTTTATAATTGTTACTTTACTATTATTATTCCACTCGTTAAGTAGCCCAATTGGATTTTTCACATGCGTTTATTGGATAACTGTATGTTTTGCTCTTTCTAATAAATCTCGTTAGCTTTTCCAAACTGAATAAGGTGGAAATCGGGATAACCGTGTTATATTTTCTTACCTGGATATCGACAAACTTTACCAAGATTTTACTGCTCGGGGAGGTCATCAGTTCCCAAGTGCACTGAAGCCCCGTCGAATAGTCTTGCCCCACGTCCTCTGTTGGCCTGAAACTGCCGTGACCAACTTGCAACTGAGTGCCACAAAAGCCTGTAAAAATAGCCCAAATACAAAGTCGTGTTACTTAGTTCCGGTTTTCGCTGACTATATTGCATATCAAAGATTTATCTACCATTACCGAACCGTGGAAGTAGCATGGAAAACTTGTTATATTGACAAGTTTCTTCAAATCGAACGTCAGCGACTCTTAAATCACTCAAACATCACCACTTGAAGAAAAAAACGGTAAGTTGAACCGTTCGGCTTTGCGCCATTTTTCCATCAATCTCGATTTACTTCTGCTGTGGTGTTTACCAGTAGTATTGAGTGCTCAAAATTAGCCAGTCACGTGGTTCCAATCTCGTATCCGACAAAAACCGACAGCGTATAGAATCAAATGCTGATCTGAAAGTGAAAAAAACTGACTCGTCTTTTCCGGGACAATGAAAATACTTTTTTTGGTTTACTGGGTATGCTCCCCTTCCTCAAGCCAGTATGTGCAGCTTAAAATAGAAGAAAAGCCAGAACGAAACGGATTTGGGGTATCATTTATTTTGCCCAAAAGGGTCCATCCAGATGGTGGGCCGAATTTGTACACAGTTTGATCAGTTACATGATAAGCTCGGTTGATATTTGTATATGCTGGACGGTATTTGCTTCATCGAAGCTGAGCCATCTCATTCTCCTCTGGAGCAGTCTGATCAGTGCAACTGAAGAACCAATGATAAAACTGATCGCACACAAACAAAAAGAGTTTCTGTATATGACGAATAATTTCTCTTTTTTCAGTGAAAAGATACATTTTCTGAGGCGTCCGTTGAATCCAGCTTAGCTTGACTGTTCGGTCAAGGAGGCGAAATAATTGATGTCGCGCTGATAATGATATGTTATAGTTCACCATTCGAAAAGGTGTCAGTACGCAAAGCATGGATTTCTGTGTCTCAGTCGGTTTAAAATGGCGCTAGTTGTTTAATGGATAAAAACCGTATCGAAAATGTCACCGTTTTGCAAAGGGTTATTACAATTTTTACTCGTTTTGCACTTTTCTTGATACTTCAATCATTTTTTTTATTCATGTTGTTCGGAGTGATTAGAGACTGACTGGTCAACGCGTGAGTAAGCTAATGTCCGTTTTTTGTTTAGTGTGCACCAGATCGCAAAGTGGTAACGTACAGCCACGACTTGTCCGATATGTGGGGTCCAAGCTCTAGTTGACCTGGTGATAATGCGCTCTAATGAAAGGAGGGTTGTACATTGGTACTTTCAAAGCTTAAATTTTTCTGAATCAACCAAGTATTGCACGGACTGGAGTGGGGCGAATCAGAACTAATCAAAATGTGACATAATAAAAAACAAATAATGGTGAAAGGATATGTGAAGCCGCCTGTTCATGCGAATCGGGCAAAGATGTATCAAACGATGAATCATGCCGTTTCAAATGTTGTTGATCTGCTGTCAGTTGTTTGAACAGAGTTGCACATCAACACCAGCACATTTCCACCAAATACCAAATCAGAATCAAATCCGGTACCTCACCGGCAGAAAACAAACATGTTACCTAAATCGACCACGAATCAGCTAAAAAGACTGTTAAATCTTATCAATATGAGACGAGAGAAATGCCAACAAAAACAGTTTTCGAGTGTGGATAAGAAAACGTCGAACAGAATGCGACCGCCCAAAATGTGATCCGCATGAACCTTGCACTTCGAGGTGACTCTTTAATCAGTGTGTGTGGAACCATTGAAACGTGACGGACGACGCATATTGCCTTCTTGTGTTGTCTGATTTTATCATGTTTACATATTCGCACGTGAACGATAACGAGTGTGGCACAGTCTTAAACGATATCAAATACGGCATGAAGGAATTCCCTCATGCATATCCATCGGGTCACCGTTTTGATGTAATGCGTACCGATGAATACACCAGGTCAACAATGCTCCTCACATTTGAGCAGATCAGATGTGTTCCGGGTTGATCGGAAGGGAACAGTTTTAGCCGAGCATTTTTTTTATAAATGAATCTCACAATGAGATCTGTATGCCTTTAAAATTAGTGCCTAACTATTTTGAATACAAGGGCATCTTGAGTGGAAGGAGGAGAGCCTGACCTGGCTATTTCTTCCAAACAGATAGTTAAATTTGGCGCATGTGCAAGGCCGAATGAGCAAGGGTTCGATACGATACATCGTTTGAAAAGTTGATAATTATCA